CTTAAAGACCGCTCAGTGTGGAGTTTGAGGTGTGCGTCGTTCAGCCTGCCAAGGGGCTTCCCAGTCCAGTTTCGAACGTGGGTTTAGGGTTTAGGGTTTAGGGTTTAGGGTTTAGGGTTTAGGATTTAGGGCGTGGTCTCTTGACGAGATTTCTGATGCTTCATTTGTGATTTTGGATTGTCTATAATAACTACAAGCATCAACGGATAATCGATGAACAGGTTCAGGCTTGTGATGTATGCCTTAGGTATGGGGCCGTCTATCCTGCACCTGCTGACAAACCCAGTAGGAACTTGACAGATATATATATATACACATATATATATATATATAGTCTCTGGGGGACTGGTTTGAGCTACTGTCGAAACTGCTAACAAACCCGAAAACACATGCCTCCTTGTCAGATCCCGAAGAGGACCATGCCATGACCCCTTTGTGAATATTAGGTCCTAAACCTCTAAACCTAAACCCCTAAACCCCTAAACCCCAAACCCCTAAATCCAAAACCCCTAAACCCAAACCCTAAACCGGCCCTAAATCCCTAAACCTGAATATGTAGAATAGGGTTTTCCGTGATTTTAATATATTCTAGTATCATCACCTGGGTTGTTCCCCGGTAAACCCCTAAACCCCTAAACCCGACACCCCCAACGAAGCAAAGACAAACCCGACACCCGAGGCCTTGCTCTGCATGAGAGCCTTCAAGGCGGCGAGGTACGGATTTGGGGTTGAGGGTTTAGGGGTTCAGCTTAACTCGGGCCTGTCTTCAGGGCTGTCAGGGATTAAATCTCATAAGACTATAGGGGCTTCAAGCTAGAGAACGCAGACGGCTCCCAGCACATGCACAAAAGTACTAAAGTACTACAACATGTGGGGGCTTGGGTTTAGGATGGCCAGCGCTGGCGAAGCTCCGCTGCCTGCCTTGCCGACCGTAGTCTCCGAACTCCCCGTAATACCCCGCCCCCTAAACCCTCAAACCCTGAAAACCTCGCAAAAACATCTCGATCTTTCCGGCATCACTAGACATTAAAACGCCATAAAAATGCAGGTTCCCCTGATTCCTACATACGGATGCCCAAGTAAGCACTTGCAGCCCAGCGACAACAAGGTCTCCGCATATCTCTCCCAATGCCTGCAACTCGCTCTGATCAAGAGCAGTGTTCCTTAAGATAGAATGAGAAAACACTTGGTGGTACATGTTCGTGCTATTAGAGTTGGGAGCCGTGCGGAATATGTAGAGCAACACATTGCTATTCCTTGATGCCCTGCTAGAGAACGTGTAAGGGGCTGTTCCAAATCAGCCTTCATGCGGCTCTGACAGTTCTCTCACCTGTCCAGTCAAGAGGATCTCGGACTCTGAACCCTCAAACCCAAAACCAGAAACCGGAATGTAGGGGCCTTAATAACTAGAATAGGGTTTTGGGGCCCATTATACTATACTAATAATAAGGAACCCTGCCCATTTGAAACCATGGGCCCCTAGTATGGGCCCTTAACCCTGGGATCCTTATATATCTACTACATACCCTATATGTACCCTTAAGAGTCCCTAGAAAGGCCTAAGGGTCCATATTAGCGGCCCATACTTCGAACCTTAGATAAAAAGGGGGTCCCATGCCCGGGTGTTCTTCGACGAGGATCCTGTTCATGGGCATGCTCTCGCAACGAACGACCATCCTACGATTTTAAGGTTTAGGGGTTTAGGGTTTGGGGTTAAATTATAACAGGTTTTGTTAGAACAATCATCCTACCATTTTAGCGTTTAGGGGTTTAGGGTTTAGGGTTAAATTATAACAGGTTTTGTTAGAACAATCATCCTACTATTTTAGGGCTTAGGCGGTTTAGGGGTTTAGGGTTATAAGGTTTTATGGCCCGTTGTCGTCATTTCCCAGACCTGGGAATCTGCCGAATCCCGAAATCTCACCCCCATAGCACACTCATGAAAACTCTGCATATCGGTATATGATGGGTTTAGGGTTTAGGGTATATGGGAGTGTCGGATGCCGAGGTAGATCTCAACCACTAGAAAATACTCTGCACAAGCCTAAACCCCAAATCTCAAACTCTAAAACCTTAACCACTGAACCCTAGCCTACGTAGAGTCTTTGGCCTAAACCCCTAAATCCTAAACCCTTCAACCCTAAACCCAAAACCCCAAACCCAAACTCCCAAACCCCAAACCCTAAACCCTAAACCCTTATGAACCCTAGAGCTCTGCACACGCCCGCCTCGGATGCCAGCGGCACACAAGCGGGCAGGGAGGGCTTCGGCGGCCGGGCCTGTGGGGTTAGCATTCCTTTCAGGGATCCTGTAAGGTATGTGTTTAGGGTATAGGGTTCAGGGTTTAGGGTTTGAGGTTAGGGTTTAGGGTTTAGGGTCTTTTTGGGGTTCAGGGTTTAGGGTTTGAGGTTAGGGTTTAGGGTCTTTTTGGGTTTAGGGGGTTAGCGGTTTTGTTCCTCGCTCTAGGACCATGCCCGCGTTGCAGGGTAAGGCCTATTTCAGGTTCTAACCAGGGCGTGGTGTTTTGGGTAACGGGGGCGAGCAATACAGTACATTCTCTAGGGTTCTACGCACCCCGATTCCGTTTGGATAGTTCTCTAAATGAGGGTCCCCACTTTGGTACGGCCGGCACCCTTATAAAAAGGATCCCCAAAAGGACCCTATAATTTAGAAAATTTCCCATTTGGTAGTTGGCAGAGGGGGTTCAGAGCTTTGACAGTTTACCGGTTTGGCGCTCAGGGCTGAGGAATCCTTGAGAGTGCAGGGCGCGAATTTAGGGTTCAAGGATCAGGGTTTGGGGGTTTCGGGGTTTGGGGTTTAGGGTTTTTGGGTTGGGGGTTTAGGGTTCAGTCAGGGCATTGGCCGTTGAGTTCGATCAGATTTCGGGCCACATCTTGTTGCTGCAGAGGTCGGACCGTCGTCGTGTCTCTAGGCTTCAGCCACTACTACATCGCTGCCTTGAGTAGTCTTTACTATGGCTGCCCTTGACGAATAAATCTTGCTACGGCTGCTGCGGCTTCAAATATGTCTAAAACATACTGTATACTAAACATTCCGAGCCCAAAGGCCTACACAAATCCCTCAGAAGAACCCTTCCACTTTCACGAAACACCCTAAAACCCTCAAGCTGAACCCTAAACCCTGAACCTTTCAAGGAGCCGGTTTAAGGAACCCTTCGAAGGAAGCCCAAAAAGGAACGTGGAACCTTTAAAAGCACCCCTTATAGAACCCCTAAAGGTACTGCCTAGAGCCCTTGAGCCTGATAGCACCCTTCTTGTACCCCCTTAGCAAGGAATCCTGAAAGATTCCTTTCCCATGGGCCCCATAGAAGTTCCTTTCTGGGATTACCTTATAGGATTCTATACTATGAACCCCAAAAAGGAACTACTTTAGGGCCTATGGGTAGTTCTACTATACAACGGATGCAATTAAGGTTTAGGGTTTAGGGCCCAGGAGTCCTTTGCAGGGTTCCTTCAAGTCCAAGGGGGGTCACCCCGAAGATCCCAAAACCCAAAGCCCTGAACCTGAACCCTAAACCCTAAACCCTAAACCCTAAACCCTGAACCCTAACTCCTAAACCCTAAACCCTGGGAACCCTAAACCCGAGACCCTAAACCCTAAACCCTAGACCCGGAACCCGAAACCCCAAACCCTGAACCCTAAACCCTGAACCCTGAACCCTTCATCATAGCCTCCTGCCGGGAGGTCGGCTCCGCCTCTGAGGCGGCAGCTGGCAAGGCAGCAGCAGCTCTGGGCTCCTGTTGAATGTGGGGAAGAGGTTTAGGGTTTTGGGGTTTCAGCACTCACAACGGTTTAGGGTTTAGGGGTCTAGGGTTTTGAGATGTAGGGTTTACGGTTTAGGGATTTAGGGTTTTACGGTTTGGGGTCTAGGGCTGTAGGGGTTTAGGGTTTTGGGGTCTAAAGTTCAGAGAATGGGATTACTTTAAGAGCCCTTCAGTGGTTCTATAAGGGTCACTTTGAGTAGGAATATTCGTGGACGGTTCCAAAGGCTACTTCAAGGGTCTAATATAGGGGCCTTAATATTTCGAATTGCCGTCCTTCAACTGATCTAGGGTTCCAACTTGGCCTTAATGAATAAGATTTGATAAGGTTCCTGAAGGGGGTTTGTTCGTCTAAGGATACTATGAAAGCTTTATCTCGGGGGCCTTAATTTATGCTGAAAAAGGGATATAGACAACTTGTCATAGGTAGCCCGAAGGCCCCCTAAACCCTAAACCCTAATAATGAATAATGCTGTTAACTTCGGCCCTGTCTAAGGGTGTTGGGCTCTGGGGCGCCTACGGTTTAGGGTTTAGGGGGTGCTACTGCAATGTATCTTTAAGCAACCCCCTTTTGGATCCACCTTTTCATAGGGGTTGATGATCTAAACCTGGTTATCCATAATAAGGAATTTATCATAATTCCCATCGCTTAGGGTCCTTTAAAAGTCACCCAATGTATAAGGCTTACTTTCAGCGTGCCCGAAAATCGTAGGGGCTTCTGAGGGCCTTAAGTTCTGGGGGTTCCGAAAATGGGACGCTAAAATAGCACCCTAAATAGCAAGATCCTTATCATAAGGAACCCCCAAAATTAGGTACCCCTTATTTTCGGAGACTCCCTTATGGGGATGCCAAAGAGGGTTTGTCGGGCTTTGGGCTCTTGCGATTTATGTAAGGCTGCGATCTAAGGCTTACGATGCAAGGCGCTGAATATCGAGCTAGACGATATCAGAGCGGTGTCTGGGGTTTCGGGGTTCAGGCTGCGGAAATGTCAACCCAAATCAGCACTAAATCCTAAACCCTAAACCNNAAACCCTATAAACCCTAAACCCATGATGATGCCTGATGATTCCTGGTTCTTGCAGCCCGTTTCTAGGAGCTCTGCGGCTTTCTTGTCAGGTTGAAGCTTTCAGGCTCGGGTTTAGGGTTTAGGNNGTTTAGGGTTCAGGGTTTAGGGAGCCGACACTCGAGGACCCTTGCTACGAGAGCAGCGCGGAGATCCTCCACAGCCGGAGTTGCGGGCCGCAGCTCGGCAACGCCCCACTGCCTTGGCTTTTTGCCGGCTTGACATCAGGGCACATGGGTAGTTCTCTAACATAGGGTCCCTTTTTAGGTCCCCATTATAGTACGGCACCCTTATAAAAAGGACCCTAAAGGGGACCCTAATTTAGAGAACTACCCACATGTTAGTGTAGGGGTCTTGAGAATTAGAATAGGGTTTTGGGGGCTATTTCACAACAATCACAAAAAGGAACCCCCAAAATAGTACTAGTAATTCTTTAGGCCCCTACATTACTCGATGATACAGGTAGCAGAATATAACAAAGCAGCCGCAGATAGGTCCAAAGCCTCTTTCTTTCTTGTCGTGAGGTAAAAGGCAGAATCGCAAAGTTTCAGTGCTTCGTAAGGATACGGGAAGTAACAATGCAAAGGACTGCTACAGTCTTTGCGCATCACCTGAATTTTTTGTGGCATGAGCCCATCCGCCCATGCCACGCAGCATCTATAACTCAGAAATTCTTTGAGGTTGAGGGGTTGGGGTTTAGCCTGCTTAAATCATGGGGCCAATTGTTGACTTGGGTTCCCTAGTCAGTTCATATCAGTACCCCTAAACCCCTAAACCCTAAACCCTCTCTCTCTCCCTCTCTCTCTCTCTCGCGGACTCAGAGGTCTGTCAACCCTAAACCCTAAAACCCCTAAACCCTAAACCCTAAACCCTATCTAGGTTCTCTCGTCCTCTTATGTGATTGAAGAAACCCTACGGGTCCAAGTACCTAAGAATCATATACCCTTCTGAATACTAACCTACAAAACTACTATCCTTAACCCAAGTACATGACTATTGGGTCATCACCCTATACCCTAAATCCTAAACCTTAAATCCTAAACCCTAAATCCTAAACCCTAAACCTTAAACCCTAAACCCTAAACCTTAAATCCTAAACCCTAAACCTTAAATCCCAAACCCTAAACCCTTAGGTCCTTTGGGCCCTTAGGGAAAGACCCCAGCCCGGCAGTCTGAAACCCGAAGAACATGCCGAGCAAGGGGACTTCAGCTCCCCTAGGACTTAGGACTTAGGGTTTAGGGTTTAGGGTTTAGGGTTTAGGGTTTAGGGTTTAGGGTTTAGGGCCGAGGGCCTTAAGGTTTGAGGGTTTAGGAGTTGGGGGCTCTGGAGTCTAAGGCCCTAACCACGCGTTTAGAAACCCCTTTAGGGTTTAGGGTTTAGGGTTTAGGAAACCCCGGACTTCTTCTGCCGGGGTTTAGGGCTCTAGGGGTTTCGGGGTTTAGGGATTAGGAGTTTAGGGTTATAGGGTTTAGGGTTTAGGGCTCTAGGGGTTTCGGGGTTTAGGGATTAGGAGTTTAGGGTTTAGGCTTCTGTTGGGTTTAGGGCTTAGGGAGTCTAGGTTGGCCGTTGCAAATTTCCGAAACTTGTTCGTAAGTAGTACCCTCCAGAACTCACCGAGGGCTCCTTAACCCAACAAGTGGACGTGTAAAACATGCAGCGGCACCCCAACACATCGCCGAGCAACAAGCCATCACCGGAAGGGCCCGAAATGGGTAGCAGCCAGAGCATCCAATTGTCTCCCAGCACACCTCGAGGGTTTAAGCGGCTTGGCATCTTGGAGGCAACGCGTTTGGGGACTCAATGCATCATGCTCTAGGGCTTTCGTGTTTGGGGCATTGGATTTGGAAAGGGCTTTTGTGCTTGGGGCGATGGCTTTGAAAGGGTTTTGGGCCATTTTTGGGTGTTGAGGCAAACGTCGCCAGGCGAACCCCAAACGCTTAAGCCGCTATCACCCCTAATGTACCCTGTCGAATCCTCAATGCGACCGGAACTGGGATGTTCATAAGACCCTGTAGGCCCATTAAAGAGCCCTACAAAGCCTAAACCCTGAACCCTTATAGCCCCCCTGGGACTCTGACATTGGATGTTCTTGTACACCCCGATGTCGTAGTGCGACATGCGGGACTCGTCGTTGTCTCGTCGCTTCTCACAATACTCCTTGGCTTTCTGGGCCGACTATCTGGTGGATCTTTTGTGTTCGTGTGAGGTTTTGGAAGATCCTTCTGCTGTTCTACAAGGTTAGGTTGGCGATTTCGCCTGTTTACTTGAAGGACCACGAAACTTGGTAAAGACCTTCCTTCGGATTTCGTAAGCACCCCTAGATGCGTTTTCGATTTCTATAACCGTGCTTCTATTTACCACTGACTAGCTCCCCTTTGCTTCCAAGTATGGGAGGAGGCAATGTCCGGAGCCCGGACCGCCTCGTCGCCACAAAGCTTAAGATCTGCAGTCGACGTAATAGTACCCAGAGACTCCATTATAGTTCCTTTTTGTGGCTTATCTTTAGGATCCTATGAGGGAATCCCAAAAAGGAACTACCATGGAGCCTATGGGTATGACGACACGATCATCTAGCCCGCACCTCAAAACTAAGCTCTGGGTGCTTACCGTACAGCGAAGATCCCGTTCCAGAGCCTGGTTAGCTAAACCTTGATACTGGAGGAACCTGATTAAGAAACCCTGGCCCTATAACCCCAATATATTAGGGTTCCTAAACCCTAAACCCTAAACCCTAAACCCCAATAGATTAGGGTTCATATTAAGAACCCTAGTAAAGGCCCAGGGTTCCTTGATCAGGTTCCTACATTACCTGAAACCGCAAGGATCCTGGACCTTTCTTTGCCAAAGGGGCGATGGTCGTCATGTTGTGCCTCATGAGCCAGCAGTGGAAGCCTTGATACAAAGCAGCAAATGGTGCCTAAAGCTTGGCATCTAAGAATCTTTTTTTTTTTTTTGGGTGTGGTGGGGGGTTTAGGGTTTAGGGTTTATAGGGTTTAGGGGCCATCTAAGAATCTAGGGTTCAGGGTTTGAGTGGGTTTTACGATATACGGAAACGGATGATTGTTACCGGTATTCGATACACTCACAACGGAAGGAGCTTCTTCAATCATGTCCGCACGATCAACAAACGGAAACGGAGCCGTTTTGGGAGTAAAGATCTGCCTGTGATCGCTACCCCTCTCGCAAAGAATCTCAAGAGAGAGCCTACTCTCAAATAAATGCAGTTGACTACGCATGGGCGGTGCTGACAAAATTGCTGCAGAGCTTCATGGTAGTTATTTTCTATCTCCGAATGCAGGACTGGCACAGTCAGTTCTGAGGAAGCTCGTCGGCGGGCTCGGCAGGAATCTTCCGTCACCCGAATAGTGTGAGTGTGCACCTACATAAAGAACTGGAAGGTTGCAGCATAGATTTATAAAGGGTTGCATCTTCCTTCTGAACCACGAAGACTGAACTGGGGTCTAAGAGTTCAGGGTTCAGGAATTACCGGAGACCGCAAGTTCCGGCAGGTTGCCAAAGAAGGGCCCAAGAAGGACAGTGAGGAGCGTGGAGATCACAGCACCTGCGGTCGAAGACTCTCTTGGCCCAAAACCCTAAGGGTCCAAAGGACCTCATAATTAAGTACTTGGTTTACGGATAGTAGTTTTGTAGGTTAGTATTTGGGAGAGTACGTCTATGATTACAAGGTACTTGGACCCTTAGGGCAACTTTCAAGGAAACTTTCACGACTACTCGGCCGAGGCTACAACACGAATACCCGAAACCCTAAACTGTAGCCTAAGGGTTGGGTTGGATGCCCAATTTAGGGCCAGTTTAGAGCTTGGTTCCGGTACTTGGTTTGTAGTTTTAGGGCTTAGGGCTCTCTCCCTTTTTTTCTCTCTCTCTCTCTCTCTCTCTACTGTCTGCAAGTGATGGCCCCAAGTTGTCAGGATGCGATTTGCAAACCTCGGTGCCCCGGCCAGAAGGAAATCACTGGATGAGGCAGCACCCTCCAAACTCTAACACCCAAGCCCTGAACCCTAAACCCTAAATACAAAACCCCAAGCCCTAAGCCCTAAGCCCTAAGCCCTAAACCCTAAACCCTAAACCTTAACAGACTAAGACTGGGGAAAACTATCAGACCACAGGTCTGGCGAAGCGTACTATAACGGATGAACGAGCCCAGGGGCTTTGGGGGACCCTAAACCCTAAACCCTAAACCCTAAACCCCTTCTTTGGGGGAGAGGAGAGGGGGGGGGGGGGAGGATATGCTGTCAAAACGTCAAATAACCACTTCGGGCTGTACGAGGACAATAGTACTCACTCCTCAGACCTCTACAGTATTAATTACTATATATATATATATATGTGCGTGTGTGTATTTTTTCTAGTGTATCATACTATACTTTCCTACGTAAGTTATACAATGTCATATACGACACATATTTTGTTACAAACCCTAAACCCTACACCCTAAAGGCCCCATGCCTTGACCCATCATGAAGGTGTGGCCAGCGCTGTGCATGCAGCAATGCCTGGGAGGTAATGTAGGGGCCTTAATAATTGGAATAGGGTTCTTTTCAGGGTTCCCTTAAAATGGTTGCTATAAGGGGTACTATAAGGTTTTAATATAGAGGCTTTAGTAATGAAGATAGGGTTTGGGGGGTAAATTATTCTATAATTACAACAAGGAACCCCCAAAACCCTATTCAAACTATTAAGGCCCCTACACTACACAGAAGCTCTGTTTTGGCTTTACAGTAGCTGTAACCGAGAAGACCTACCTTTGAAAGGAACTATATTTAGAAACCATCCCTAAACCCTAAACCCTGATAATAAGGAACCCTAAAAAAGGTAGGCCTTTTCGGCTTACAGGTAGGGCTTGGGGCTTGAGGCCTTTGAGCTTTGAGGATTCAGGGCTGAGAGTTTGGGGGGTGTTCGCGTTCATAGGGTCTCCGGTGCAACAGCACGGCTAACATAATATAGGGGCCTTGATAATTAGAATGGGGTTTTGGGGCCCATTATACTATACTTATAATAAGGAACCTCCAAAAATAGTATAGGTAATTACTTAGGCCCCTATATTACACGGCTACTTTGGGGAAACCCTGCGGCCTTATCGGAGTAATCGCGGCTGTTTAGATCTTAGGCGGCGAGTCTACAGCTTGTGGCTTGGAACATGTGCAATTTGCTGATGAAAACTAGGTTTTGGCCGATCAAAGCTCAGTTGAAGAGTGTTGGGGCCTCGGGGTACCGGAACCAACCGAGCCCTCGCAAGGGGGGGGGGGGGGGGTCTTAAAATCAGCGATGTCTTGCGTGGGGGCTGGGAGGGTCTTTCTGGCAGGATCCGACTGTTGGCGGTCCATGTTAGGATGAGGGCCTCCTGTGTTCTGAAACCTCTCAGATAGGCCTTGGGCCTTTTGCTAGCACTGCTTCTTCAGGGCAACAAGACCGAAAAAGACGTCGCTTATGTAATTGGGACCATGCTGTGATCCTTGTGCCGAACCATACCCAAACAATAAACATCTGTTTTCCTGAATGCTGACTTCAAGTTATAGCAGCATTTCCAAAGACAGAGAGTGTTCTCGTGGATCCGACAAAGTTGGATCGTCGTGCACAGGAGCTCATCAACCAATTGCCAACACGACCCCATTCCTCTGGCCCGCATGCATCTGAATCGCAGGCCTCTCAACTCCTGCACTCTTTCCCTCCCCGTAGTGGCCTTGCAGCCGTAGTCTGCATGGCCAAAAAAAGTAATTATCAGACTGTGCAAACCCCCGGCAAAGGGTATGCTGTGCCGGCAACTGAGGATTCGAATCCACAAAGACTACGAAGAATGCAATCACAGAAGTAGGGCCTGCACTGACTGTAGCCTCAGACACTCCACCCCGCCATTCAGAACCAAGTAGCAGTGCACGGATTACGCCCACGTCGAGAGTGCCTGCAGTTGAGATCGGATCAATCAAGCAAGGGTTGAAATTTCCCTACTCTAACGTAATATAGCGCCTAAGCCCTGTCTCAATACTCCCTAAACCCTAAACCCTAGACCCCTAATACTAAACCCTGAGCCCTGTCTCAATACACAGCCTTTTTTTGAACCCAGACTCTGTTGAAACCCTAACCCGGGCCCTTCATACATACCAGTTCGCGAGGGAAGCTTACTTCTTTGTCAGGGCTTGGGATTTAGGGCTTAGAGGTTTAGGGTTTGTCAGTGGGGAAGGCTCGAAGGCTTAAAGTAAAAGTCGGGCTCTGTTTATTTTAGGCATAGCGAACAAGTATTGTTTCATCACTGGTGGTAAGCTTTGTGGGAACTTTCTATGCATCTTCCCATGTCTCTTGCACACCCTAAACCCTGAACCAAAACCCGTTTGCTTTTGGGTCTGCCGTCAACGGGGAAAGGGGCTGCCCAACTCAGGGTTGCAGACAACGCGAGATCCCTTGGCCAGCGATTCTTATAAGTAGGATCCAAAGTCCTACTTTTGAGTTTAGGGTTTAGGGTTTAGGGTTTAGATTTTAGGGTTCAGTATGTTTTCCCATCCCACCTGGCCGACTGAGTGGCGTCAATATATCAGGTGCTGCTTTTTTCTTCGGGAACTCCAAATGTTAGGTGCCGAATATCAATGTGGGTAGTTCTCTAAATTAGGGTCCCTTTTGGGTCCCCAATGTAGCACGGCACTCTGATGAAAAGGACCCTAAAAGGGACCCTAATTTAGAGAACTACCAATGTGGATCTGTAGGCAAGACTCCTTGCTGTGCGGCCCAAAGAGCGGCTAGGCCCCTCCGCTAATGCCCCGGCTCTGAACCTCTTGGGTCCTACTATAGAGGTTAACTAGGATTTCGGATAACGGAGCTTTAAACCCGAAGCCACACCAAATCCACAGCGGGCCAGCCTGTGGCTATCAGCGTATAGAAGAGGAAGAGGAAGAAGAACTTGTGGTTATGGTACCCGACACCTGAGTGGACCAGGAAGGCCACGAGCAGTACCCGCTGCTAGTTTCCAAGTGGGGTCCCTGCTAAGATGATGCTTTTATAGGGGTGCCGCCTTCTCTCGGGTTCCCAAATTGGGACCCTGATTTGCAGAAGTACCCAGAAAGGACATGGCCCTAAAATCACGGGTACGCTTGGACGTGTCCTAAAGTAGCCTGAATACTCCAGTCTGAAAGGTCTCAAACACTTAGCCCAAACCGCTGTTTTGAAAAAGGAACCATCGAAGGTCTCGCACACCGGGTCGAGAGGTGTAGGGGCTACAAGGGCTGTAGAGCTTACCGTGTAAGGCTCAGGCTTAGCAGCGGATTGATTCCTTCGAAATGAGGGTTCAGGGTTTAGGAGGTAAGGTTTATCAGGACCCCAACACACTTTTAGGTCCTTCTAGGTGCATCGGCTAAAAACACCTGAAACCCTCAACCCTAAACCCTATCGGCTAAAACCAGCTCTTTGAATGGGCCGCAATCGTTCGTGAGCCCTGATCCCCGAAGCAGGTGTGCCTGGGGTTTAGGGTTTAGGGTTTACGGACTCTTGACCCAGAATGGCTCCGAAGTGTTAAGGGTTTACGCAATCGGCCGAAAGAAACTTGTGTCAACAAAACGAGCCCCTTCAAGGAATCTAGGAGTCCCGACAGGAACGGAGTCGGTTTAAGAACGCCAGGATCCCGCTTTTTGAATACACTTAAAATGTGGGGCCTCAATAATTAGAATAGGGTTTTGTTTTGGGAGTTCCTTATTATAACTATAGTATAATATAGTTACCCCAAACCCTATTCTACTTATTAATTAAGGTCCCTATTTTATTGCATGAAACCTGGGGCACTCATGTCCGAGCCACAGTTCGCCAACCACGGGCAATAATGGTCCATGCGCAGAACATTTCGCCGCATCGCGCTGCAATAGTGCGCCTGGGAGCCGGGCTGTAGGGGGTTTAGGGTTTAGGGTTTTAGGGTTTAGGGTTTAGGGTACCCATAGGCCCCATAGTGGTTCCTTTTTGTGGCTTATATTTAGGATCCTATTAGGTAATCCCAAAAGGGAACTACTATGCGGCCTATGGGTAACAACTAACTCAATGCTAACGTAGGTGAGTTCGTTTAGATGGGGAGGGAACCGATGGATGGCTGTTTCCCATTGACCCTCTTGGCATAGAGACTTGCAAGGCCGTCTTGGGCATGAGTCCGGCATAAGTTGCTGTTTGGGGCAGTGGCGGTGCGGTTTATTACCCCCGTAAAGCCGCTACAAATCCGCGTGAAAGCCTTCTAGAACTTTCGAAACATCCTGATAACGACCCTGTCTCTGAACCTACATGAAAAACCCTAAACCCTAAACCGTGTTTCAATCCCTCAAGCCCGAAAAAACCGAAAGCCTCAGAACATAAAGGCCAAAACCCTAGAGCACTTCCAAGCTTGATTCAGTTTACCTAGACTACCAGTATAGTACAGTATATAGTGTTTTATCTTATGATGACAGGTTTGTTTAGTACATACATCATCAAATATATGTATATATAAATATATGTAGACAGATGTGTATGTGTATATATGTATATATATTATACATATGTATGGGGTATGTACACATATATGTTCTAGTATATTGCAGTATGGCATGTTTCACTCAAGGCATCCGAGCAGCTCGGTCGGGCTTGAACTTCCTCAGTGCAGGGGTGGGGGGGGGGGGGGGGCTGGTTCTCTGAAGGATTTAGGGTTTAGGGCTTAGGATTCCTTTGCAAACCCTAAGCCCTAAGCATCCCTAAACCCTAAACCCCTAAACTCCTAAACCCTAAAACTATGGGGCTTCTGGTGCTTGTGGCTTTGGGTTTACGGTTCTCTGAAGGATTCCTTTACAGTAGGGCTCCATAGGGCCCTATTAGGGTTTAGAGCTCAGGGTTGTCAGCTTCTAAAGCCATCCTGAGGCTCGAGAAGGCTTCAGAGCTGCGGTAGCTCCAGGGTTTAGGGTTTAGGGGTTTAGGGGTTTAAGGGTTTAGGGTTTAGGGTTTAGGGTTTAGGGTTTAGGGTTTAGGGTTTAGGGTTTAGGGTTAGTTTCTTGGGGCTTCTAAGGTTACTATAAGGCTTCAAAGCTTCTTGCTTAGAGAGCTTGCTTTTGGCTTCCAGAGCTTTTGCAAGCTTCCGGGCTTCTTTTTACAAAACGTTTCGGGGCTTCTAGAGCTCTATAAGGCAAGGCTTCAGGGCTTCTGTCGCTCTAGGAAGCCATTTAGGGATCTCAGGGTTTAGGGTTTAGGGTTTCGAGCTCAGGGTTGTAAGGACAGATCTTGAGTGATTCATCTACATGAAAGTCCTGTCTTCATGTCTTCGTACTCCCCAGCAATGCAAATGATACACCCTAAACCCTAAACCCTAAACCCTAAACCCTAAACCCTAAACCCTAAACCCTAAACCCTAAACCGAGGCTTTGGGGTCCAGGGCTTGAGTCCGGCAGGGTTCGGGTTGGGGTCTATACGAGGTTTAGGGCCGCTGAGGGCTTAAGGAGGGCCCGTTTAGGTTTTAGGGTTTAGGATTT